TGCACATTGATTTATGTGTATTTGTTAATATATATATATATATATATATATATATATATATATATATATATATATATATATATATATTTATATTTATATTTATATATGTATGTATTTATATACATATATACAAATATTTATATACGTGTAAAGTGTAACATTGAAAGTGTAAAGTGTAAAACATTACCTTATGCCTCACCTTACTTAATGGAAAGTGTAAAATGTTACATGTTAATATTGAAAGTGTTACACTTTCACACTTTTTCAATTAATTAGCATTTTTAGTGTAAGATGAGACATATATATTCTGTTTGTGTAACACTTTAGATAATATCTCCTCTTACCTTGTGTACATAGTTGTTACATTGTTATTGCTACACTGTTTTTATTACTTTCAATATTACCCTATAACATTTTACACTTTTCATTAAGAAATGTGAGACATAAGATAATATTTTACACTTTACACTTTCAATGTTACATTTTACACGTGTATATATATATATATATTTATATGTATACAAGTATGTATATATGTATAAATATAAATATATATGTATTTATATATATATATACACACATGAATCAAGGTGCATTAAATACTAAAGTTCTCCCATAAAACTATGAAATATTTAATGCACCACTTTCCAAAGAACATACACATGGATCAATGGAGGACAAAAATGTTACAAAAAAATTAGGCAAATTCAAATTGTGTACTTAGATACAAATAAGTATCAAAATTAAGAACTTAATAATCCTACATTTTTTAGTGTGTACTTTTTGCCAAATAAGTCTAATTTAGTATACCCCCTTACAATTTACCCCTGTATGAATTGATAGAAGGTCTATCATGTTTTAGGGTTTGGTTTGTGATTGTGAGTATTAATATCAAGTCCAAGTGTTAGCACTTAGAAGGTTATGAATACATACTAGGGTTCTAAAACAAATAGAGTTTTTTGAAAAAATCTGTTAGTAGAGGAAGTCCTCCTAGGGATAAGAGACATAGGGTTAAAGAGAGCCAAAAAAATAATCTTTCTTGTATAATTCTGCATAATCTTGAATATTATCAGTTCAAGTATGTAGATCAAATAATACAATACAAACAAAAGTTCCTAGATTCATAGAGATATAGAACAACATTTAAGTTATCATGTTTGCATATCCATCATTTGAATCTCCCACAATTACTCCAATAATTACATATCAAATTTGACTTATAGAGAATATGCAAAGCTATTCTATCTTATAATTGAATCTCTTGATTTAATTTGCTGAAATAATTCATTATAACGGGGTTAGCAAGGCCGGCACAAATGACAAGCCAGTTAAGCAATTGCTTAGGGCCCAGTTAAGAGGGGCCCCAAAATCACAGCTATTGTTTTTTTGTCTAATTGAATTTGGCCTAATAAATTTGAAATGTAAAAGACTCAAAAGACTACATAATTGGTCCAAATAGAGAAAAAAGATTTGTCTCCTTCATAAAAGCGTGTTATATTCTTTCTCACAGTAGTCACTTCACCCCAAGAAAAGTATTTTAACAAATGCAATATGTATACAAATAGAAAAAAATTAGGAGATAAATAAACTCATACATAAGCTCTAATTTATCATACTTGCTTTCTCTATTACTCTTAAGCTTTATAATATAGAAAATTTTCATCTTGATAGTCACTTTATTTTAAAGAAAATGTTTTGGTTGCAATGATTTTTAAAATATCTCTCTATCGACTAGAATATATCAATCAGGATAAGAGAGAGAGAGAGAGAGAGAGAGAGAGAAATATAAATCAAGTCAATTATTACGGAAACCCTTGGTAAATTTGTAAATATAAACAAGAATGATTTTTAATAAAATAACAATAATATTATTTAATTTATATTAATTACTAAGAAAGCCCCATTTAAAAATTTTTGCTTAGGGGCCCCAATTTTTCCTTAGTATGGCCCCTACCGATTAGATTGACTATGGATCTCATTAAACATTGAGAGTTTTTACTAATTCAACGGTTATAATGAATTAAATTAATAAATTAGGTCAACAAATTAAATNAATTTTCCTTAGTATGACCCCTACTGATTAGATTGACTATGGATCTCATTAAACATTGAGAGTTTTTACTAATTCAACGGTTATAATGAATTAAATTAATAAATTAGGTCAACAAATTAAATTTAAATAACAATACTGAAATAAGAATATATAAAAAAAGAAAAAAGGCAAACACAAGAAGGGTTTTTTCAAGTAAATCTCTCCCCATATTCATTGGGGTTGCCATCTGACACAAGACACGAGGCTTTGCTTGCTGATAGGATAAACACCCCAGTGGTTCGGGCCACTTGGTAATACCCTAAGGTTTGCTTTGATACAAAACGCTATAGGCCGGTTACACACCAAAAGGTCTAATCATATTTGGGCTTCCCGCTCCCACTTCTAAGGCGATCCCGAGTCCAAATAAAAGATAATGGTTGCGTTAGATACCTAACCACCAATATAAAATTCTATAAAATCCCACTTTACCTTAAATTCTTTAAATTGAAACCTCTACGAACTGCTTACAGGCTACAAACAGAATCTCTTGGAACAGCATTCTGTCCATGCTGAACCAATATTTGCATATATGGATGGTGGCTGGTTCCTTATGTCTGCACACCAAAAAGTCGATCATTAAGAGCACTTGTCTGATTGTCTTTTCTAGTGCAACCTCGGTGCAACAGAAAGGTAATTCTATTGTAACCTTGGCGTCAACCGTTCGAGTTGGAAATAGTTTTTCCGCATGCGAGATAAGGTTATGTATGTTTGACCCCCTCTTCCCTCAAACCCACAGTGACAGGAATAACCTGCACTATGCCGCCCTATTGCTTGTCTTTTCTATTGGTGATAGAGTTGGAAATCGAAGCAGACATAAGACCAACCCAAGCTTCGGTGTTTCTTGTATCATATTTTTTTTTGGTAGGTAAATAAATTTGGTTTCTGAAAAACAAAGATATTAAAAGAAAACTCAAAACAAGATTGGAAGGGCACACGAGCAACCTCATTAAAGAAGGGCCTCGTCACATCCTAGTCCTCACAAAATGAGGCCTAGGTTCACAAAGAGGCCTCTCACAAAATGAGTTTGAACTCAAAAATGATCCTTAACTAATGTTTAACTCATACCAAAACCTTACAGTATGAGATCATTGGCTATAGTCTATTTACAAGTGAATGGAGTTACGGTGGCCGTCAAGTAATGGCGTGTCATCTTCGTCTAGTGTCAGTTGAATCTTGTTTTATTTGGACCGTGTCATTTCGGTTCATACTAGTAGTTGCGGTAATAACAAACTGTTTAATTTTAAAACAATTCAAAAAATATTAAATGAAAAATTGAGAAAATTAAAGAATGTTTATCGTCTTGTTACAATACCCAAATGTTTATCGTCTTGTTACAATACCCCTAAATAGATTATTCGTGTCTAAGACCAATGTAACACATTAGTTATTTTTGTTATATTCGAATCCATACCGTTCACACTGAGTTTGTGTCAGTAGTATCCAGTGCTTGTGATGGGCTGTGTGATTGTGAAACTGACTCCTAAGTCTGTTGGAACATGGATATCGTATTTGCTAAGTGACTTCTATACTACTATAAGTAGTTTGTCTTTCAAGTTATTTTCGCTTTAACAGGTTATTGTATTGATCCATTTATTTGGGTCTAATGGATTCACCTGAGCCAGTTAAACTAAATCCGCCATTTTTGTGTCGATTTTGTGTGGAAATTTTCTAGAATCCCATGCCTAACTCTTTATGTAACACTATTGCAATTCCATTGAGTAGTCCTAATAACTGAAGCACTGTCTCTACTCCCTGCCCACCGATTGTGCCTGGAGAGAGCTGAAATGCATAATAGTGTAGCATGGTTCAATATACTTAAGTGAATGCTCTCTGGTTGACAATTTGAAAGCCAAAAATTTTTTGTTTTGAGAAAATATGAAAGATAATCAAAACTTTGTTGCTAATATGATCAGTGTTCAAAAGAAGATATATTGTCATTGCCAAACAAACACCAAACCAAGAACAATTTGAAACATATTCAGTATGTGTAGTGTTTGAAAGGGGTTCTTTTAACTCAACAAGAATAACTGTATTATAACCAAGCACAAAGGCTAAGCAATGCATGATACTAGGAGTAAATACATGGGGTGAGAGAGGGAGGGGGAGAGAGAGAGATTCGTAGTACTTAGTTATACAATGCAAAATCCCATGGTCATGGAGTTCAAATAGGCTAAAGAGCAGTTAGAGTATTTGGGCCCCAGGCCCCTAGATGGGGTAGATAGTAAGTGAGAGAGAGAGAGAGAGAGAGAGAGAATTTCATTTTCATGGCTCTTGTTTGAAAAACATGGAGGGAACCATGTCCTGCAAAAGCCCATAGTCAGCTGAGAGTTGGAGCTGCTGAAGTGGGGTCATGGATTGCTGATACACAGAGCTTGTGCCACCATAGTTGTAAATGTGAGGCATCTGAAGCATCAGTTCTTGAGGAAAACCCTGTCCAGCCATCGACCCTGGTGCTAGCATAGCCGGAGGCAGCATTCCGGCAACATTTCCTCTCAGCGTCGCAGGCACATGATGGTTGTGTTGCCCTTCATACGTTGTGATAACAATTGTTGGATCTTGATACGACCTCTCTACACGTTTCTTCACCGTGCACTTTTGAGTAGTGCACCTGTAATAGCTTCTGCAAAATGAAGAAGTGGGGGTGGGATTGCTGTGGAATAAGAGTCTATACTTAACTCTTACATACTGAGTTCAAGTCTCCAGATCATAACATGTTATAATGATACTCTTGATATCCAGGAAATCATAGGTAAAGAAAAGAAAACTTGGAACCCATATAGTATGTAATCAAACACTACTAAGTACAAGTCCAATTCTTTGGAGTAGTGCACTTGTAATAGCTTCTGCAAAATGAAGAAATGGAGGTGGGATTGGTGTGGAATAAGGGTTGATATATAAATTCGTACATACTGAGTTCGAGTCTCCAGATCATAACATGTTATGATACTCTTGATATCCAATGATTCATAGGTAAAGGAAAGAAGACTTGCAAACCATTTAGTATGTAATCAAACCCTACTTAGTAGAAGACCAATTCTTTGTTTTTTTTGCTAAGTAGAAGTCCAAATTCTTTATTTCTATTCTAAAATCTAGCCAATAAGATATTAAAACTTAATAATTAATATTCAAAGATAATTCAAAGTTATGAGATTTGTTTGAAAGAGTGGACAGGGGTTTAAGGATATGAAAAATCAAACCTTGGATAAGGGCTATTCTTAACAGCCTTCTGTCCATATTTTCTCCATCTATACCCATCTTCTAGATGATCTACCTCGCTCTTGGTCATGAAAGCAAACCTCGGCTCTCTTTCCTTTTTCTCAGCTTTCTTCTTCTGTTTGTTCCTGTCATGTACGATGTAACCATTGAAGTTAGCTTCACCTCGACTTTACAACGAAGAATCCACACACACACACACACACACACAAAGGGTAAACTAATGAACGATGCTTCTATTAAGACGAGATCTGATGATTGAGGAGGGATTAGACGTATGTTGTCTTACCACCGCTTGTAAATAGACTATTTTCAAGGCTTGAACCCATGATACTTGGGTTGAACTTCATGAATAATTTTAAAGCTGCATCAAGACTCATACTCACAAACTTATATTCATACACATACTTACACTTTCTTAGAGCTCTCTCCTCCATCATCTGAGGTTCCTTTCATTTGCTTCTCTTTATTACTCTTGTTGGAATCTTCATCTGCACCGGCTTCAGTAGACGAGGAAGAGATAGACGAGTTAGGTGTGACCGGAGTTTCACTGCCACCCACTAAATCTCCGGTGCCCTCCGGCGTCTTTTTCTCTTCTTTGACTACAGAAAAAGCTTCAGATGATGAGGGTGACAAGCCAAAGGCTGTGGTAAGTGTGTTATAGTCTGTGGATCCATGTAAGTACTCATTGAAGCTTTTGTAGAAAGGGTCGAACCCTTGTGGATCCTGGCCGGCTGAAGAATCAGCTGTAGAGAATGGAAAACTTGTTGTAATGTTGCTTTGTTGATCTTCATGAAAATGGTCATGGTAGTAGAAGTTCTTCAGTTCATCAGCCATGGAAGAGGAGGAAGAAGAAGCAGAGGAGAGAGAGAGAGAGAGAGAGAGAGAGAGAGAGAGTTTGACGGGAGCTTTGGTTAAGGTGTCTTTATTTAAGCTTTGACAAGAAAGATTTGGTTACGGTCCATTTGTTTTATTTCATGTGGGCGAGAGAGAGAGAGAGAGAGGGCCCACTTTGTAAAAAGAAGGTTTGACAGATCTAGCGAAATCCATTGTTAGGGAAATTATTTTAGTCATACTGGAATAATGATCATTGTAATTGAATTCAATATTTATGGCTGCAAGATACATGTTCAATTATAAAATCATGGTGTATGTACCATGGTGTACTAGTCACATTTGGCGAATTATATATCATTAAATTTGTTGAGTTATTTTGGATGTGGGACAATATTTTTTGCAACTATTGTATGAGACGACAAGAATTCAAAATTTTTCAATCAACTAAAAAAATAATAGATATATGAGATTACAATAAAATATGAATACCTTGACTTTAACTTGATGTTTACCTTTTTAATTAGTAATTTATTATGAAAGTACCATATTTCGTTTATTTCTTGATCTGATTTTGTATGTTTTATTGTACAATAAACTAGTTTTTGATGGGATTTTGCTAAGCTTGATTTGGTCGAGAGAGTAGACAGATCTTTGTTGTGGGGTTTTCAGTGCATAGATCGTACGCATTGCTTTGAGTATAAGTTGAATATCGTATAAATCTAAAAATATCATTACTCAAACATGACACGACATGATATAATTAATATTTGTATTTGTTAGCATGATTGTTATTACAACATGCTCGTTCTGCTCATAAACATTTTATTAAAAAAAATTGTTCGCCACAATGTTATCTGAAACTCATTCTCAAAATTAGAAATTTTTTTTTTTGGGGGGGAGAGAGGGGACAAAATTAGATACTTGAATGGCATTTCCTTGCTAAATTTGAACATTTATCACTAAGAACATATACACATCAATCTCTAAATGAATATGAAGCACATATTGATTTTGATTTACGGAATGATATAATTCGTGAGCTTTTATTACTTTAACATAATGATTCTTAATGTCTTACTATTCAAATAATAGTTTTGTCCTACTCTTAACAGATAAAAGAAAGTCGGTCATTATACAATTCCAATGGATAGTTTAAGTAATACCATGGATAAGTTGTAAATTCAGATATTCTGAATTCAAATTTTGGTAATCCCATGGAATTAGATTACGAGGGATTTATCTCTTATAAATACTCTAGTTCTAACATAGATGACTTGTTTTTGATCGGACCAAAGAAAAGATTAGTCGAGGTGAGCGTAAATTGACTCGAACATTCTTGACCATTGAAACAATACTACAAAGATAAAACCCCAAAACCATGCCTAAGATAGACATCTCCTTAACTAGTCGGACAATCCCATTGTATTTGATGATTATGGTAGAAAAGAGTTGTTATATTATTTTAATACATAAATTTTTTAGTGGTTTCATAGTAATACAACACAATCAGAATGTGACAATGATGTGGTGTACTTATATTCTTTCATTACACTTCAAGAAAACCATTAAAATCAAGATATATATAACTATATTGAATGATTACATTAGGAAATTTTAATGGTACAGCGGTTCTCATTTGAATTCTCACTATATAGAAATTTTCTCATGCATTGGCTTTTGCTTGGATTCATGGTGGTGGATCTATCATTGAGAGTAATTGGGAAAAATAATATTAGAGACAATCCAAATTTATAGGTAGAAATTCAGATCTCCTACAAACCTCTTCTTCTAATTTTTTTTACTATGCTAAATCACCCGTTATGTATTATGATTTTTTTTTATTCAACAGTCAGAAGTGTTTGAGCCAGCGTATACGCACTTTAATTAATCCTTTCTTTGGTCCAATCAAAAGTAAGTCATCCATATCAGAACTAAAATATTCATCATGACCTAAAGAGATTGCTAATATTCGAACTCATGACATTTGAATTTACAGTTCGTTCTTATTAGTATTTAAACAACCTCTTGAAATTATGTATTAGGATTTACAAACTCATGCAAAACAACACCCAAAAAGTACCACAAAGGATCCAAATCCATTTGTATCACCATTATTTGATACATAAAATTAAGACTATCAATGACTTATGTCGTGTGAGATTCATATTGTATTTAAGTCACATCATGTTAAAAAAAAATTAATTTATAAATAATTCATTTTGTAAGAATGTATAATTAATTTTTTAATCAAAATTTATATCGTATATATAAACCATGTTTAACGAATTTGTATCGTATCAAATTTTGCAGTTGCTATCCGAAATTGCCGACTTACATAAGACTCCGCATTAATCCCTAATAAGATTTTGAAATTGTCAATGTTAAGCTTTCATAGATGCTTGTTGGAGAGAGAGATAGAGAGAGAAAGTCAACGACGACTAATCGAGGTTTGCAGTCCAGTCACGAGGCCTTTCAGGAGTGTGATTGGTCAATGTTTATATAATTCATAACTCCGCGGGACTGACACGTGTCCCCACTAGGCACCGGCATTTGACCCTACCGACAATGTGACCTTGGCACGTGGGTGGTTCTCTGTGGATTAGCTGCTTTCCATTGCTGTCTTGCCGATTGGTAACCAAGCTAAGTGCATTATTGCTGAGCCACGTGTTATGCACGTGCCAATGAAACAAAAAGAAAAAATTGATTTAATAAGACAAATAATCGAATAAATTTTTAAATCACGACAATTTTTGGACTTTATTCTCTAAATACCGTGATTTCTAACTAATTTGTATTCTACTACTACTACTACTATAAAAACTCGAGTTTAACCCGCGTTTTTTAATGTTTGAATTAAAATTATAGTTTTACATTAAAGTGTGTACCAAACTCGCTATTAATTTATGTGAAATAACAGCAAGTTGGGAAATAAGTTACCAATTATTATATATGTAGGAATAATAAGGACAAAAGGGCGAATAAGTTGGACGAAAAGTCAAAATTAATCAAATATCTTAAAGTAGTATTCTCTGTTTTGGAAGGAGATGGTTTTATAAATGTACAATAAAAATTTAAAACTCATACTTCTAAAGCACTTTTTACAAACATTTCACTATTAATGTGTAGAATAAAGTTTGTATATGTGGAACTTTTACCTCATTTCATTTATTTTTGTTCTCAAATTTCAAGAGTCTTAACCCTTAAATTTAAGTCATTACACCGATGGTGAAAGTGAAAGTGCAAATACCAGGAAAAAGAAACTTTCACTTCAGATCTACGCAATCTTATCTTTTAAGAAAAATTATTTTTATAATTCAAACTCTCATAATCAATTTTTTTTTTGGAGGGGGAATTGGAGGGAAATTTGAAACCTGAACCTTAAAAAAATAAAACATTCATAAGGTAAAGAGTATCATTAAACTAAAAGTTCATCGATGTCTCGTAATCAAAATTTATATCCCTCACAAAAGTTAGAAGAAGACTAGACAGACATTAAGTGGGGTAAAAAACCGAAAAGACCAACTATTTGTCTCTTTTAATTTCTTGTTATAGATATATAGTCTTACACTATTTTAGTAAAATCAAAAATAAGACACATCTAGGTGAAAATGAATGAATGAGATTTCTATTAGATGTTGAAAAACCATATATATATATGCTAATAAAATTATTCCAAACAACTGCATTTGCATCCTATTAGAGTGCAAATAATTTCTTTATTGTTTTTTAGGTTGAATGTTCTTCTAAAGTCCAGCTTCAATTGCGGCAGGATGTTAGCATATTATTATTCTTGTCTATTTGACATGTAATTGCATGACCCATGTGAGAACTATATAGGTATATGTGTGTGTCTGTGAGAGAGTGAGAGAGGTTGGTGTTTTTCCAAGACTATGAATGCAAACTTTTTTGGCTAGTTAGGCATGATTTGCATTCTACACATAAAAAAAATGTTCTAGGCTAAGGTAGACCAAAATGAATATTTACTTAGAATGTGGAATATTGACTTTCTATTGTATGACCAATGTAAAAGTATGATTGTCTATAATCCCCTCTCTCTCCATGCATGGTCTAGATTTGGTAGGATATGAGTTATTTCTATGCATTGCTTATCACGATTTCAAGGAGCAAGGACATTGTGTTTTCTTCCTCTTGTTTTGAGACAATATGAGAGAGAGAAAGAAAAAGAAACCCGTGAGAATTCTATGCCCAATGCCTTAGGCAAAAATGGTCATCATACGTTATGTGTTGTTGACTGTTGGCTACTTTTGAACGTGCAACATGGAATGTGGAGAACTGACAGGACGGTTAATACCAATAAAATCAATCTGATACTTAAGTTAATAGTTGAAGATGAGAAAATTTTAAAAAAACTATAAAGGGTATTTCTTGAGTTGAACAGTCTTTTTTAATATCAACTGATATTATTTTTCAAAACTTCCTATTTTACAAGTCAAAGAAGAGCCAAGGCACATATATATAGATATATATGTGTGTGTGAATGTCAGAGAGAGAGCGAGAGAGAGAGAGGGAGAGAGATATTGGGAAGTTTAAGGTTACAATAGACTTTGAAAGAAAGCAAGTGTTGTTTACATTGCATAACCTTAGCATCATACACACTAAGAAATCCAACTTTTACTAGTGAAATTTGGTCAAAAGCATCAGCTAATGAAAAGATACAAAGGACGAAAAGGTCGTCTAATTTGTGTGTTTCTTGCCTTATCTCTCCTACCCACTCCCCTACCAGTTGCATAAAGACTGCCTTAAACTTCTCGCAAGGGGGCAATGGAAAAGCAAATCATGTTGGAATAAACACATGGTTGTGCAGTGGCTAGCTAGCGAAAACTTGTTGACAATCACAAGTAAAAAAAATTGAAGGAAAGTTTTTTTGTTTTGCTAGGTAAAAAGGTGGTCAAGGCAATCAGATGTAACAACCCCTCGTGACGTTTGTTTGAGATTTTCATCAATTGTAAAATATTCAATTTGAGTCATTACTATTGACATAAGATTGTTGAGTCCGTCATCATAGCACCATCGAGGATAAGCTGGACATTCAGTCCCTC